ACATTATGGCACAATGGCATAAAGGAATTTGACTAGATACTCGCAGAATAAGGGGCACATGAACCAATCTACTGAGTATGAAGAAAAGACTTTGAGATGACACAAGACCAATATCCGTAAGTAAAACCCTAATGGGATGAAGATACTGTATTCGGGATAACTTCTTCTGCAAGAAGCCTCCAAATTGAAAAGTATTGAACAATGTTAGCTTTCTTTATATCTCAAGATTGTGTATTCTCTTCTTGGTTCAGCTTTTTGATTTGGTTTGTAATTTTGGATGGTTCACTGCATCAGAAGAGCAAGACTAAGCAAATGCCTGGCTGCTCAATTCTGTTGTAATTCAATGCTTAATAAGGTCATCCAGATGGAGGGAGTCCCTAAAGGAAACAGGTTAAGCCATAGACCTGTTGGAAACAAGGAAAACACTAGGTACCCCCTTGATTTTGGGGACAATAGGATATAAATAAGTCATGAGATTGCACTAGTTCCCTGAGTTATCATCTAGACTGACTATCTTGGATCACTGCTATATTGTAATAGTCACATGATACAGCCAAAGACTGAAGCCATTATATTAATATTGTTGAATCAATATACATTTGCTTAGTCTATCACTTACAATGATTTTATCTTCTGGATTTAGTTCGGCCAAAGGGTATCTTTTGCTTTGTTTTTGGTTATTCCACCTTCAAAACCCCAGTGAAAATTAAGCTGTTCGTTAAATTGCTTATTTTTTTAAGAAAAAAAGTATCAAAGAAGTGAGAAAGTGTGGAGAACTTCTCATGGGTAGGTGCACAATTTTGTTGTTACTTTCAAGTTGGCCAAGGCACGTTTCTTAATGTTCTTTCAATCATTCTACAAATCATCTCGCTGGTACTCTATCTACCATTCTTCAACCTTCCTGTGTGTTTTCCTTTTCTGGAAACTCCTTAAATTCTCAGCTGGACTCAGCTGTGTACTTGACAACTGCTCATTGTTATGGTTTTATTTTTATTTTATTTTTTTAATGCTTTTATTAAATCCAACTCATTATACATTTTATCCATTTTACAACAAATCATATCCATTTTCAACTTCCTTCAACGTCGCTGACATTCTTTCATAGTTATTCTTTTAGTACACATTCCATTCTTCCATATTGCCATTTACACCTCCTTTCCTCCTATATTTCTAGTAAACAATATTCATTAGTTCTTTACAAAGCCTCTTTAAACCCCACCAGCGTTGTATTTACACCATAGTTATTTTCCAGATAACACACAAATTTCTCCCAGTCCTTTATAAATTTTTGATCTTTTTTATATCTGATCTTCCCTGTTAATTTATCCAATTCTGCATACTCTATTAATTTTGCTCTCCATTCTTCTACCTTTGGAGTTTCCTCCTGCTTCCACCTCTGAGCCAATACCATTCTGGCAGCTGTTACAGCATACTGGAAGAATTTATGATCTTTCCTTCTGATGTCCTTCCCTACGATACCTAATAAAAAAGCCTCTGGTCTCTTCACAAAGGTATACCTCAATATCTTTTTCATCTCGTTGTAAATCTCTTCCCAGAAGCTTTTAACTTTCTTACACTCCCACCACTGGTGGAAGAATGTACCCTCTATAAGCTTACATTTCCAGCATTTGTTATCTACTCTGTACATTTTTGCCAGTCTTACAGGAGATAAATACCATCTGTAGAGCATTTTCATCATGTTTTCTTTCAATATCGTACAAGCCGTAAATTTTATATTCTCTTTCCACAACCTGCTCATTGTTATGGTTTTAAGTGAAGGCCTTTTACTTTTAAATAAATCAGTGTTGAGAGACATTAAAAGGTAAAAGGAAGGACTTCCATTAAAAAGCAAAATCAGCAAGTGCACCATGCTCAGGAATTCAGTATCCAGCCTCCCTTTTCCCCCACACTTCATTTAAAGTTCAGTAGAAAATGTTGTGAGGTAATTCCTCCTATGGATCAAAAATCCCAGGCAGACAGAGAGACTGCGGAGTGCTAATAAATATTTAAAGTATAGCGAAATGTACACCCAACTCATGGACACCTTGGAGCAATAAAGTAAATTCTAAACCCTGTGCTCACCAAAAATTTCAAAAGAAATGCAAAAGTGTCCTGAGAATGGGGGAGGGGTGCCTCTTTTCACAGGTTTTTTTGTATGTGTGAAACTGGAAGGCAGCATTTGGCTAATGTGCCTTTGTCTGCATTTTCCAGTAAGCAACTAGGACAGGTGATCCCAAAGGATGAGATATGCACTAATTATTTGATTCATTTTAAGGTTCACCAGTAAAAAACACATTGGCCCTAAAAATACAGTGTTTTGCTTCCAGGAATCCCATTTGCTTCACACTCTATTTCGGCTAGTTTCCTGTTGCTGGGAGTTAGCTAGTATAGGGAAGATTTGATCTGATAGTATATTTAGAACATATTGTTCACTGGACACCAATCTTACCACTTGACAATTATCAGTTCAAGGGAGTTGACTAGCAAACTGGCCCAATGATTTCCAAAACTTTAAACTAACCTGCAGGCTGCTTGAAGCGCCCCACAGGCACAATATGTCTAGCTGCAGATCTGCAAAGGCAGAGGAGGGAAACCCTGCTTTTTTAGGTTTTGCAGGGGCTTCACTTGAGCTGCAGGAAGTACCAGCATCACTCTCTCTGCCTACCATGGGGAGGGGAAAGCCGCTTTGCAAGACCCGAACGTAGGTTTTCCTCATCTGGTGTGGGGAAGCAGGGGGGAGGAAGAAGCCTATTTTACAAGCACCATTAAACTCAAGAGAAGCCTCTTTCACAGCAGATCAGAAAACAGAAGGGAAAACCCTATTTTTTAATTCAACTGTGAAAAGGGGTTCTCTTGAAGACACATTGCTTGTAAAATACCAGCATCTGTCTCTCCAGCCCCTGAAATGGCTTAAAGCGGCAAAGTGCTGTTATAACCAGCCACCTGCCTCTGTCTAAAGGGAACATGAGGGCTAGCTTAAAGCGGCAAAGTGTCATTTGACCCAGTCTCTCCCATTCTTTAAAGAGCTGTTTCAAACAGCATTTTGCTCTGCTTCTTTCAGCAGGAGGAAGACAGCAGTGGTACCCTCTCCCCCTCATCCTTAAATAAGAAGGGAAGGGGTTCCAAAACCTGTCCTCTTGCCCAACAGTTGGTATCACCAGCAACATCAGCTAATGGGTGGGTGTAACTTGGGAAAAATGGAACCCCTTAAGTGACCCAGGGGCTGGCAGTTCCATACCCCTGCTCTACATTATAGTTCTTCTACAAGACTTGAGCAAACAATCTTCACACAATCATCATAACCATTCAAGATCACATCTTTGTATTCCAATCAATACAAAAGCAGAGGGGTCAAACTGAGCTACAGACTACGTATCTATAATCAGACCCTTACCTTCTCACAATATTTGTTTTATTGTGGGACAATCAATCCCAACCTTTAGTAATTACATCCTACATTTATTCTGAATTCAAACTTTTTCCCCCTTAGGCATTTCTTAATATACAATTTAAGACATAATCATAGAATGAACTTGCAGAAATGCCCCACCACCATCACCAATGGCTGTTTACTTTGTTCTTCATAACAATGTTTTGGACTCTGAAAGTATTATGAAGCATATTCCTAAATCTACTAATTATTTCCCATTACGTTACATACTCGGGACGCGGGTGGCGCTGTGGGTTAAAGCCTCAGCATCTAGGACTTGCCGATCGAAAGGTCGACGGTTCGAATCCCCGCGGCGGGGTGTGCTCCCATCGTTCGGTCCCAGCACCTGCCAACCTAGCAGTTCGAAAGCACCTTCGGGTGCAAGTAGATAAATAGGGACCGCTTACCAGCGGGAAGGTAAACGGCGTTCCGTGTGCTTGTCACGCTGGCCACGTGACCCGGAAGTGTCTGCGGACAGCGCTGGCTCCCGGCCTATAGAGTGAGATGAGCGCACAACCCTAGAGTCTGGCAAGACTGGCCCGTACGGGCATGGGTACCTTTACCTTTACCTTTACTACGTTACATACTAGAAACATAGGAAGCTGCCCTATACCGGCTCAGACCATTAGTGCATCTAGCTCACTACTGTCTATGCTGATTGGCAGTGGCTCTCCAGAGTTTCATACAGGAGTCTTTCCCAGTCTTATAAGGAATGCCTGGGATTGAACCCAGGATCACTAGCACAACCCTTCTCAAGCTGTATGTAATGTGCTTACATTGAAACATGTTCAGTCCCAGGCTAGGCTCTTCCTGTTCTACTTCACTTTCTAATCTGAGTTTTAATTATTTTAACCAACTGTTTTTAATCATTTATTTGTTTTTGGTTTTTGTTTCATGTCTGCTCTTGCCCTGATTTTGTGTTATAAACCGCACTGGGAACTATTTGGTTGAAGGGCACTTGATATGTTAAATAAACCAGCCAACAAAAAAGAAAGTGGAACAAATAGTAAGATGTCACTTGTAGAAGGTTAGCTATTTCATGTGCATGCATGAGCAAAGTGATTGCGCTGTTCAAAAGTAAAGACCCTTTTGTAAGAAACAAGTTGTATTTATGACACCTGGATAGTTTGCCTTCTACTTAAATGGATGGCAACCCATTGTGAAATTGCTGTTACTGCACTGAAATAACAAAGCATGATGTTCCCATCATTATCTTCATATTAGCCAGATTTCTACCAAATTACTAATTACCCAAAGTAAACAAGGCCTTCCTCCATTAAGCATGTAGGAAAGTGTGTATCTCAATCAGTAGGGCTATAAAATGGCATTTGCCTCCAAAGGTTCTAACTGGCATTTGCAAATGAATCTGTTTTCTAAAAAAAATTAAAAAATAAAATACATGAATACAGAATAGGGAAAGGAGATGGGTGGGCGTGGGTATAAGATTCTGTAGAATATGAAACTAACTACTACAATTTAAACGAATTCTCCCAATCTCCATGTAGTCATTTTGCCAGTTGCCATTTTTAAAATACTGACTTAGCTCAATTACAACTGTTCACTATCATACCTGGTAGATATCAGACAGGCTGCTGCTTCCAGAGTCGCTAGTGATACTACATCCTGAATGACTAGATGAAACGTGGGTCACCTGTGGGTGGAGACTGTCAGTAAGGTGCAGTTTTGTGAAATCTGCAGGAAGCTGTAGACAGAAACAGAAAAGGCATAATTAAATTTTGTACCTAGGCATTCACTTCATAAACATTTGAATGATTAACAGTACTTGTCAGTACTAAAACCATACAAAATTCATTAAGCAAATCCTTAAGGACAGAAGGGTTGAGAGGGTGTTTCAAATGTATGCTTTGTAAATATGTGACAAACATAAACATTACTATGGCTGTTGCTGTAAATGTTAAGAATGGAATATGACTTGCTAAGAACAAACCCTTTAGCGAGCATTTACTCATGATTCCCACTGGAACCATGTGAATGGTCTCAAAGGAATCAGTGGGAGTTACCATGACTATATTTAGGATGGTAGTCACTGGCTTTTGTGAGATGAACACCTGTTAATGCACAAATACTTGTGCCAAGTAGGGTTGAGGGAGCAATGCTTAAATATTGGAATATGTTTCAAACTTGTTTGATTCAGTTTTTAGAAACTAATGAGAAGTAGGAAAATATTACTTAATTTGTGAGGCAGAAATGCAAAACTATAGCTATGTATCGTGCAACATGTAAGCGACCGAAATTGTGTTAAACAAAGAAAGCTCTGAAATTTCTATAGTCTGGTTTTTTAAAAAAACAAAACATGATGCTCATGGCTAGCATAACCTCTCAACTGCTATGTTGTTGTTGTTTAAATACTTTTTTGGGGGGTTGTACTATTTTTTTCTAAGCAGTAATCTGAAGTAACAAATAAATAGTAAAAAAAATTATCTCTCTAACCCTTAATTGTTCATTCAGAACCTACATTGGTCAACTACAATCACCATTCATTTTATGCTTCTCCCATAGTTCACAAATTTCCAGAGGAACCAAAAGATACAGACCCCTGTGATGAATGCATACTTAATAAGAATTTGGAGGTAGTTTCCCAAGCTTTAGGCATCCTTACCAGTGGTTTTTCTGGAAAGTTCCCACACTCCAGACCCTCTCATGCAATTAGAATGAAAGTGGACAGGGGAGTGCATGGGACAGGAATAATAAACCTGCCTTTGCTATCTGCTTTAGCTACTTTCTTTGTTTCCAGTTCCCCTGTAGGAAATGAACCAGCAGAAGATGGAGCTCAGCTAGATTAGTCTCTATCTGGTTGCCCTCTATCCAAACTACAGCTTTTAAAGAAGTTACAAGACACTACTGAAAAGCATGGCTCCAAAGAGCCACACAGTCCTCTTTAAATATTTCCACAGCTGAGCCTGAAGCCATTCAGCTGATATTGACAGTGGGAGGTTATGGAAGAAGCTACTACTTGTCAGCTAAGCACAATAGTAAGATCATTCCAAAGCACTTCCCCACTACTAGATTCTACTTTCGAAATGCAGAGCCTACATAAGATAACCGTTTCCATTGTAGAGAGTAACACCTCCTTACATCACCTAATAATAAGAACACTTATGCAATCTAGCACAACTCTAAACCTAATCTACCCTGCCTAGTTTTTCACTTAAGAATCTTATTATATTGTTTAACTAAATCATTGCACACACAAAATAACATCCATTAGTACAATGGAACTTCCCTTCTCCTACTCACCCTGCCCCCTCAAACATGCCCCCAGAGCAGATTTTGGGGTAGCGCAGGGAACAGGTGGTAAGTGAAAAGGAATGGAAAATTATGTTGCCTTTGTAGAAGTCATTCCACACATACACAATAATTTAGTGCATAAAACCCCCACTCCTTGAACTGCTCATATGTAGACCTAAGACAAACCATGGCTAAGTGCAAACATGTGGGTTCCTCAAGAGGAGATTATGGCCACTTTGGTCCTGCTTTGGCCCTGCTGCACTGCAGCGAACTAATTCATGGCTTGGCTTCATGCTTCAAACAAGGTTTGCTCTTGGTTTATAACTCGTTGCTTGTCTGGAGAAAACAAACCAGAAGCCATGGTTTAAATGAAAACACACTTGATAAATTCACAGCAGTGCAGCAGGACCAGATGAGGAGCAAATTAGCTACAATCTCCTCTCTGGGAGGCTGAACACACAAAGCCATGGTTTGGCGTACATACACACACACACACACAGAGAGAGAGAGAGAGAGAGAGAGAGAGAGAGAGAATATAGCTTCACAGGTCAAAACGCTTACAGAATACCATCACCATGTATAGAGAATACTACAATGTAGAGTTATGATTCGTTGGGGGGGGGGGTTGGCCACACCTCCAGTTGGTTTGTAGGCCCCAGAAATTGGCCAAGGTGGAATTAGCCCTACCCTCAAAAGAGGCTAGCCACCCTTGCTCTACAAATGTTCTTCTTTTTTCTGGTATTCAGGACTGCTCTTTTGTTGTTTTGTCTCTATCAAAGCCAGATTCCAAAAACTAAAGCAGAATTACATGGTGCTGTTAAACACTGATCTAGGAAGCACCAATTTGTACTAATTAAAACTAGCATACTGATGAAGAGTATTACCCAAGAGTCATTTATGGGGTGGGGCAAATGGGGAAAAATAACAGAACACAGAAGTATTTGTTAAAAGTAGCCTAGAGAATATGGATGCAGAAATGTGAATTCGTGATTGTCACTATAGTTCACAGTTACTGTACTTTAGTTTTATTCCATCAAAAAGTAGATTAGTCAGTTACAATTCTAAAGTGATTGTGATTAATTATTTAGGAAAACAAATTATGACCCATTCTATAGCAGCAATTTCTCAATGTTAAAGCTCATCAGTATTTCAATAGGCAATTGTAAGGAATAACTGGGTATCTTACTTAAGGAAAGTATGAAAGGGCCATTGAAATGCTCTGTTAGTCATCATTTCTGAGTGACCTTATAAAGAATCATAACTATGGCTGACACAAATTAACAAAGTCCAAAGACAAAGGCATTTCAAGGTCCTGCGGTAAATTATTAAAATAGATTTTCTATATTGTTTCAATTCTACAAAGCTAACATAAATACATTTTTAAGTGTACTGTTCTGGAATCTTGACTATACCACAGGGTTGTCATACACTATTCCCTCTCAGGCCCTTTCCAGCAATACGATTGTAACACTGAGCTACTTTGCAGAGTGGAGGTAACTCACACATTCTCAGCCACATCACCCCCTATAATATGATACAATATTGGACTTTGTTGTGCAGGCCATCTTTTTCAATCTGCCTTTGCTGCTAACCATTTTGTTTTGGGGTGCCCAGTTACATCACTAAAATCCTTTGTATTGTGAGGATAACATGGTGAGGGAGAAAATAATGTATGCCTCATTGAGATCACTGGAGTAAAGCTGGGATATAAACTGAATAAACAAAATTAACAAATGTACTTCACCCACCCACCCCCAGTCCATTTCCCAACAAACTCTCTTTGCCTGTTACTCTCACTCAGCAATCTATTAAACTCCCAGGCTTCTCTCAAAACAGTTTAGTAATGAATTCCTGTTGCCTAACATTAGTCATAAAAATGCATTTTAAACAAAGATTACAAATATTTTATGCAACTCATGGGTAATAATGACACTTACTAGACATTCCTCTTGACCGAACACAACAACTATTTCCCCGAAGTCACAGTACAGATATATTTTCCCCTAAACAACCCCAGCAAAGTCTGTAGAAGAAAAACATACATATCTTGCCAACTTTTGAGCATCAAAAGTCAAGTGGTTAACAAAATCAGAACAGTTTCTTATCCTTTCTATCCCCAAATCGGCATGAACCATCCTCAAGCTTGCCTTTCCTATGATGCCAAGTTTCAAATCAATCCACTGAAATATTTTCTAACTGTACTGTCTTCCCTCCCCCTAAAAAATTATCATTATAATGGCAGGATTCAATATAGCTGGCTCACACTTAACATAGTGTCAATACTGTGGCCCTATAAATCCTGACAAGTGATGGTTAACACTTCATGCATCTGTTTTTAAAAAAATCTTCTATAATTTATTTTGAACAAATTACATCCTCACAAGAATACAACTAGAAATGCAAAAATGAGGGAGGGGCAGATTTTAAGAGAGAGGGAAAGAAGAAATGAAATAAAATTACAGACCAAGTAATAATACAAAGGCTTTGCACAATGTACTACAGTAAGCAACATTAGGCACAAGGTTGTCATAACAATACTGTAATTCAAACAGTAATAATAATATAATTATATTTTCTTGTTCTTCCAGGTGTGTGAGGGAGTGTTATTCAATACCTCTTTACTCAAGAAACAATATTACCACATTCAAAGATATACAAAGGCTGGGAGTTATCTCTTATTAGCAAAATCAACCAAGTCATGTATCAGTTGAAGTGGACTGCAGCCCACAAAAGTACACTGTCATACTGGTCTTTATTAGTTTTGCAGCCTCTTTTTTCTTTCTGCTCCTATAGACCAACACAGTGACCTGTCTCAAAGTTGTTCACACAGAAATGCCAACACACATTCAGCACTCTTGCTACCAAAATGGTTTCCCCCTCAAATAGCTACACTGGCATTCTGTCTATCCTTACCTTCAAGTTCCCTTCATAGCCTTGCCTCCCATATCTCACATTTCTAATATTCCAATACATCCCTCCCCATGATATTCTCTCAAGCACCACCAACATCCAAAAATCTCCTGCTCCTTCAGTGGCAACCTCCTCTCCTTGCTGCACTGTATTGTTTGGAATTTCCTTCAATGATACCAGCATGATGTCAGCTCTCTGACTTCATAAAAACAACATATGAGGACCTCATTAGTTACTCCTGTCCTAACTATAGATCAGCCTGTAAGGAAGCCTAAGCACATGTGACCAAAATAATCACATAATGCTTCCCTATTAATTTCTGGAATTATTGAACACTGCCAGTTGAACAATAAAATCTAGGTTAAAAACAAGGTTTGCAGTTATTCGTCTTATACACTTCTTATTTCAAGGTAATTCATTTTCTTTCCTAACCAAGTGAAACATTGGAGGAAATATTAGTTGTATGGTTCAGTGATTTACAGGGCGGCAGTCAATATACCTAATTACAGAATAATGAACTGATTTCTATTGATTTCATTTATA